CAAAAGCAAACATTTGACATTCTCAATAAAAAAAGTACTAGAATCCGTACTTTACAAAGTGTAATCCCAAGAGAATAATCCCAAATATAACATTTGTTACATTTCACTGTCTAAATGGCATCATGTACTCATAGCTTGTACACTGGAGCCGTGCCAAATTATCTTTGTCAGAGGGGTACACAAAGTACGTGATCTAGACTACCAGTTGTCAGACTTTCATTTTTGTGGAGGCCTTGGTGGCTGAGTGGGTTAGATCGCTGAAGTTTTATGCTTGCGATTAGATGCCTCACTCTGAGAGTGTGGGTTCGAGTCCCGGACAGGACTTAATCCAAAAAGTACTACAATCTGTACTCTACAAAGCGTGTAATCCCACATATAACATTTGTGACATGTGATAGTCACATGGGAGAGTGAAAAACTTGTTCCAATATGGATTCCTGCAAGTGCTGACCAATGTCCTGTTAGACCGAATTGAGTGAGTGAGTTGGGTTTAATGCCGCTTTTAACAGTATTCCAGTTATATCACGGCATGTCAGCTTAATGTGGGAGGAAAGCCCGAAGTGATGCAGGTCTCAGACGTTTACCACTTTGGTGAAATCCACGAGCACGGGTATGGTGCTGACAAACCTAGAAACATAATCAGAGCGAACCGGGATTCAAACCCACAATCATAGGTTTCTGGCGTGCCCAAGGGACGCAACTCTGCACAGATGACTGGGCCACCCATGCCCCCTAGACTGAATTGAACACAGGAGGAATAAAATGAATTATGACCTTGACCTTTACATCAACAAACTATAACCGTGGCAGGATACATGCTTACCCTGTTTAGTCATCAGATTCATTCAACTTATGTTGCATAAAACATTGTGACAAACAAACCGTTTTACCCATTCTATTAGCGGATGTCCGCCCGTAACAGGAATCATTTCACCCGTGAAGATGCGGGGTAGAATAGGTCTTCCGCAACACATGCTTGCCGTAAAAGGCAACTATGCTTGTCGTAAGAGGCGACTAACGGGATCGGGTGGTCAGGCTCACGGACTTGGTTCATGCATGTCATCGTATCCCTATTGCGTGGATCGATGCTCATGATGTCAATCACAGGGTTGTCTGGTCCAGACTCGATTATTTACAGACTGCCCTCATTATTTACATCTGGAGTGGCATTAAACAACAAACAAACAAACTAATAACCTGTGTAGGCAGGAATGTCTGCATTGTGTGAGGTGGCCAAATTGGTTTGTGTTCTCATTTTTCAGGGGCCATCAAATTACGGAAATAGAAAACATTCAGGCATATGTAAACGTCCTGGCTATTTTATCACCAAATAAAACTGTTTTGATCTTACATCAGCATTTTTGAAAATGGAGAATAATTTAACTTTTCTTTCCCATCCAATGTCTGTCTAGGCTTTTGTTCAAGGAAGGCATTTATTTTAGGCAGGCACTAGTTAGAGAAAAGCATATTATCAAGGCAGCCATATATTTCTTATGTGTGCCAGCTGACTAATTATTTATTCACAACAGGTGCTCATTCATTGTAATCAAAGCATATGCCTGCCCAGGCTGACATTTTTTCAAGGACTTACGGTACATTTGTTTGAGCTAAAGGTTACAGCTCTGATGTTGAAGTGTATAGAGTCTGTATTTCCCATGAGATAATACCTACAGTGATGCCAATGAGACAACAGCGTATGCTGAACCCAGTGAGTGAACGCTAATGAACATATTGAGACAAATCCTACATCAAGCCTCCATAATGGACTTATTGACCTTTATTTCCACAAATTACTGATTATGTCCATTTATTCACCATCATTATCAAGGCATGTTTGACAAAGCAGTCTTAATCTCAAGACAATGAGTTGTTTGGTAAGCAGCACATCTGACACTGTCTCCTCTGAATGTGAACACCAACGTATGCATAATGAATGAGGCAAATGTCCTATTGTGAAGTAAGTCTTTGAAGAAAAACTGTATTGAGAGCCAGGGAATGAAAGCAAACATCTCCAGATCAAAGACACAGTCGGGATCACAGAAAACGCCCGCTTGAATATTACCATTCCAAAATTATCAGCTCGTGTTGTGAAATCTGGAGCACTGACCATAAAGATAGAAACGGATTTTGAGAGAAAAATTAGTGGTAGAGAATATTTCTGTGGATGAAAGGGAAGATGGTTGCAATGATTCACATGAATGAACTTAATGACATTTGTGCTGTGCTAGACATTGCATGTGGTGGCAAAGTCCTGTAGTGATACATCGCAATATGTCCATCAGTGAGCTGGTGTGTGAGTTATAAGATGTAATAATATCACTGTCTCTCATCATAAAGATATATTTTCAAACATATTTAAAAGATATAAAAACTTAAATGTATTAAATATAAAAAAAATAATATTGAGGGTTTCATCATACTTTGACTCGAAGAGAGAGAAGTAGAATAAATATTTCTCAAATCTTAAGCTAGTGAGTATATGAAGAATCTCAACCAAGCCTCTTTTGATGTCAAATATATCTACACGAGTCGATAAATGTTTTAAAAAGGCTTGCCAAGGAGTTTTAAACTTTATTGACGAGTGTTAATATATTTGATATCAAAAGACACAAGGGTGAGATATTATTTATCATCCAACATCATTCTTCCAACTTTTTCAGTTTGTAGACAGTAATAAGCAGTGTCTTAAGTGTAAAAAGTACTGCTAACAGCATTAGTAGCAGAGCCATTAGTGATGTCATTTGATTGTGACGTCATGGTAACCAATGAGGTTACAAGGTCTGCAATGTAGATATCGGTTGATCTCAACCAAGCCATATCACCTGTGGGTGGGAGCCAGGTTTGGATGATAAATGTTGAGTAATGTCTTACACAGCCAACTTCCAGCAATATCTATGGCCTATAAATAATCAAGTCAGGACCAGAGGGGTCGATAACACGAACATTGATCCATGGAGTCAGGGTACGAATACACAGAATCAGGTCAGACATTGAACCAATCAATTCCCATTACAGTCTCCAGAGGACGATAGTCAGCCCCAAGACTTCAGCATTTCCAGCTCAGAGGACAATAGTCAGCTGCAAGACTTCAGCATTTCCAGTTCAGAGGACAATAATAAGCCCCAAGACTTCAGCATTTCCAGCTAAGAGGACAATAGTCAGCCGCAAGACTTCAGCATTTCCAGCTAAGAGGACAATAGTCAGCCGCAAGACTTCAGCATTTCCAGCTAAGAGGACGATAGTCAGCCCCAAGACTACAGTGTCACCACCAATCCATATACGAGGGTATGTCTCTGCACTAAACAGCCAGGTGACAAACCGATGGTCAATAGAGTCACCACCAATCCGTATCACTGAGGTACGAACATTCACTAAACAGCCAGGTGACAAACCGATGGTCAATAGAGTCACCACCAATCCGTATCACTGAGGTACGAACATTCACTAAACAGACAGGTGACAAACCGATGGTCAATAGAGTCACCACCAATCCGTATCACTGAGGTACGAACATTCACTAAACAGACAGGTGACAAACCGATGGTCAATAGAGTCACCACCAATTCATATACAAGATTATGATTCTAAACAGCTGACTCTATCCATTTACGAGGATAGGACTCTAAACAGCCAGGTGACAAACTGATGGTCAATAATGTCACCACCAATCCACTGACAAGCCATCTATTACACACTAACAACCACTACCAGCACATAGTGTCTATCCACGTCACAGGGTGTGATTGTGATGCTTCACCAGTTCAAGACACCTGTTCCACAAAGTAGCACTTGTGCTGGGACTGCCAAAAGTCAATGTATCTGTTTTAAGATAACGACAAAAAAATGTTAAGAAGCACCGGATTGTTTCATATTACAATAGATAATCATGGCATGACAGATTGACTATCGTAATATGAAGGGCTTCTTTTCAATAGAATATCTAAGTGAAACAGGGCCCAGGTCACAGCTCATCCTGGGTGTACGACTTCTTCTCTCAACCAGCCACTGCAGATACCAGATATCAGATTGGTCCCTTTACAACAAGCAGGGATTACACCAGAACAGATACAGCAATAGCAATAGAAACTAACAGTTTTAGCCCACTTGACCTTATAATGAGTGAGTGAGTATGGTTTTACGCCGCTTTTAGCAATATTTCAGCAATATCACGGCGGGGGACCCCAGAAATGGGCTTCGCACATTGTACCCAAGTCGGGAATCGAACCCGGGTCTTCGGAGTGACGAGCGAACACTTTAACCACTAGGCTACCCGACCGCCCCTAGTCCTTATAATGATAACATATAGCAAAACCCCCATAAAGGCAAATTTCGACTTGTCCTTAAAATACCTTAATTATTGCTAGGCATGGCAAGGACTATAGGACTAGTGTCAATTTCTAACGCTGAGAAGCAGAACGATTACTCACGTAGAAACTTTCAGTGAAGCCTTATTTTGTGTCAGGAATATGTGAGGCTAGATATTTTTTTAAATAGGTTACAGTTAATATTTTGCAATCAAATATTTTAGGTATACAATTCATGGCCAGATGTAAACAAGGTGCCAAAGAAAGTCTTGAAAATATTTGATCATGTTTTAAGACTATGAATTGCTACACTTATATACCTAATGTACCAATGTCATAAATATGTCTACTGAATTGAAATGAAATTTTTAAAAATTTAAAAAGAAGAAAAAAGTCTGGAACCCTCTCAACTCAGTCGGAATCTACCAACATCTAACAACAAACCAATTCCAACTATTAATACGACAAGATACTGCTTGAATCAACTCTTATTCCGTGTTTATATGAGGGATAGTTGATAAGTTACAAAGACTTACAAACAAAGAATTGCATAATAGTGAAATCCTTTGTTGTGGACACTACAATATGACATAGAGATATAGCCACAAAACTGAGTCAACCGAGCCAATTGTTTCTCTGTGACTTGGGCAAATGGACAAGCTTGAGGAACGTGCAGTGTACTTGACTGAGTCTGACCTGTGGAGACTGGAATGAGAAGTTGCTGTACACCGAGGGAGCTGGCCGCCGCGGACGCTGCTGCCGCCTGCCCCTGAACGGCAGCTGCCTGCGCCGCCGCTTGACTTGCCAGGAAGAACTGTGGTGCTGCCACCTGGGGCTGTCCGAGAAGCTGGGTCTGACCCGATAATGAGTGGATTGCACCTACACGATAAAAAGTCCAAATATCAACAAGATCATCACAAGATGCTCTGGCAAAGTCTCAAACCCAATCACAAAAGCTCATTTGCTTCAATTATTGAGTTGTTATATAAAACAGAAACTATACAAAAGATCTGTAGTTTGTCTTGTTCTAATTACAAAATAGTGAAATAGTTAAGTTGTACTTAATCCAAACTAGCTCATCAAAATTATCACACGCTGACTCCTATACTTCGACACAAATTACAATGATACACAAAAACAAGAATGAAATAGGTTGCAAATTTGACTTGATCATTTTTACAACACAAAGAGTTATCTCAGCAAGCATTTGACTTACAAATTTGATTAAAAGCATGAGTTAGTGAGTATGGTTTTACGCCGCTTTTAGCAATATTCCAGCAACATCACGGCAGGGGACACTAGAAATGGGCTTCACACATTGTATCCACGTCGGGAATTGAACCCGGGTCTTCGATGTGACGAGGGAACTCTTTCAACACTAGGTAACCTGACCACCCCTGATTAAAAGCATGAACCAATATACGATAATCCAGCCTGGCCCAATGGGCTGGGACAAGTCCATATTTACTAACCGGGTACCCAACCCCCTATTACCCGACCCTACCCGGGTACCCAACCCCCTATTACCCGACCCTACCCGGGGACCCAACCCCCTATTACTCGAACCTACCCGGTTACCCCACCCCCTATTACCCGAGTCTACCCGGGTACCCAACCCCCTATTACCCGACCCTACCTGGGTACCCAACCACCTATTACCCTACCCTACTCGGGTACCCAACCACCTATTACCCGACCCTACTCAGGTACCCAACCCCCTATTACCCGACCCTACCCGGGTAACCAACCCCCTATTACTCGAACCTACCCGGGTACCCAACCCCCTATTACCCGACCCTACTCGGGTACCCAACCCCCTATTACCCGACCCTACCCGGGTACCCAACCCCCTATTACCCGACCCTACCCGGGTACCCAACCCCCTATTACCCGACCCTACCCGTACCCACTGTAAGTCTCAAGAGATGAGTACACAATGTTTGACTGTGAATTGTTTGAACGGAGAGCTGACAAAAAAGTATTTAGATACACTTCCCTACACTATAAAACAATCTGATCACGCATACACTGAAGTTTCAGAAGCTTTATCTTTATTCAAACATGGGCAATCGTGTGACTAGCAGACAAGTAGCTATTTGGCTGTTTTCTATGACAGATACTGTGCATACATACTACAGTATCTTTATATTGAGACAAAGGGATGTTTTTCCACACCAATGATATATTAACCTAGATATTTGTTAATCCGGGCAAGTTCTCAGGAAACAAGTAACCAGGTGATATGCATCCCATAATTTATGAAGAAAATTAATGAATGACCTTTACCTTACAATTCAAGTCAAGGTCACTTCAATGGTGGGTACAATTGACCTTGACCTTGTAACTCACCATTTGCTTCTGATTTGGCGTCTGTGACCGAGGACGTTGTGGAGGTGTCTGCTATGGAGGGTACGGACATGAACAAATGGTCGGAGAGACCCAGAGTGCTTCCTGAAGCATTGGGCAGCGAGACAGAGGGCATCGTAAAGACTGACGACACCGGCGCCAGCGGGGACTGTGTGGTGGTGGCTGAGAGCATAACATCCTGGAAGACAAACATGACATATAGTAACCCTGTAGCCATTGGTTGGTGGTGACATGTTATACAGTAATATTGAAGCCACTGTTCCTAGGAACATAATATATAGTAACCCTGTAGCCACTGGTTGGTGGTGACATGTTATACAGTAATATTAAAGCCACTGTTCCTAGGAACATAATATATAGTAACACTGTAGCCACTGGTTGGTGGTGACATGTTATACAGTAATATTGAAGCCACTGTTCCTAGGAACATAATATATAGTAACACTGTAGCCACTGGTTGGTGGTGACATGTTATACAGTAATATTGAAGCCACTGTTCCTAGGAACATAATATATAGTAACACTGTAGCCACTGGTTGGTGGTGACATGTTATACAGTAATATTGAAGCCACTGTTCCTAGGAACATAATATATAGTAACACTGTAGCTAATAACATAACAGATACTAACACTGTAGCCACTGTTCCTGGAACATAACATATTGTAACACTGTGGCTAATAACATAACATACAGTAACACTGTAGCCACTGATTGGAAGAAATGTAAAATATAGTAACACTGTAGACACTGATTTCTAGAACTGTAACATATAGTAACACTGTAGACAATGAGTGCGAGAAATGTAGCATAGAGTAACACTGTAGACACTGATTTCTAGAACTGTAACATATAGTAACACCTTAGACAATGAGTGCGAGAAATGTAGCATAGAGTAACACTGTAGCCACTGACTTCTAGAACTGTAACATATAGTAACACCTTAGACAATGAGTGCGAGAAATGTAGCATAGAGTAACACTGTAGACAATGAGTGTGAGAAATGTAACATATAGCTACACTTTAGCCACTGATTGCTAGTAAAATAATATAAAGTCACACTGTAGCCACTGGTTCTGAGGAACGTAATATAGAGTTTTGCAATATACACAGATAATTGAATGAATATTGTTTAATGCCATAGTCAGCAATATTCCAGCTATAGTGAGAGCAATATATTAGAACTGAATATAATGGACAGAAAATGTGAAGAGTAAACTTTTTTTGTCTTGTTTAAGCAAGACTAGCTCTCTACTCTGAGGACTAGTTTGTGTAGAGAAATGCTCATGATGTCAATCAATGGATTGTGTGGTCAAAACTCAATTGTTTACAGACCACTGTCATAAAGCTGAATTTTCGCAGCGTTAAAGAAACAAACTTAAAAATAATAATTCTAAGGCTGTGTTCATGGATGCAATCAGTGACCACAGAAGAATCTCTTGTGTGTATTTAGGCAGACTGGGACGAAAGTATCCACATACATGTACCTCAGGCAAGTCAGTGTTAATATTGAATAAACTCTCACACAGGGATGAATATTTCATGTCCCAGCAATCATGCTAACACACTAACAAAAGATCACTTGCTGACATAATACCTTCTCTGTGATGCCAAAACCACAGTGAGAACTAGTCGATATGGAAGCAACATGGCCGACAAGTCACGTCTGCTAGATATGACAGGCTGATCTACCACAAAAGCATCTTCAGTCATACATGGCTACCAGAGCAAACCACAGTACAATAGACATGATAGAGCTTGCCAGTATTTCTGAGCCTGCTGCCTCCTACGTGACTGGGCAATTGTCTGCAGGGTGATGGTATCTAGAATATTGTTGGAAACTGATCATGCTTTTGCTGAGCATGTTCCCTATAACGGCAGGATGGGCCTTGGAACTGGATTCCATAGACAACATGTGTGAATTGTTCACTCCAGAGACACAATTATTCCAACAATTTCATTTATACCATAGACGATGTACAAGTTACTTACATCAAATCATAACAGTGATGTTTAATCGCAAATTTCTCATTTTCATTGGTAAAGTTTTTAATAGCGTTGTTCGTTCACCTCAAGCGATACGATGTAGTTTTTTACCAACAGAAATATAGTTTGATGAAAGTGTAACCTTTACATAGCCGGATTCCTTTTTACTGAATCTTTTTTCTGGTCTTCACAATTTGGCTTATCTATGGTCATATACAGTAATCCTCATTAGTCCGTTGTTATCAAAAGCATGAGACTGTGGAGACCAATTCTACCCAGAAGATATTCCTCTCGGCAATCAACTTTTTCAGAATCATCCTATGTTAAGAGTGTATGAATTGACACAAGTGCAGCCAGCCTAACTATTCTCAAAGGTTCTACACCTTAAGAACCCATCTAGGGCATCCCCAGAAGTATTTATCTTCTTGTTATACAACACCATCTTTACAAACTCCCATCCCATAAAAATGTTTTCTATTTAATAATATTGTTTTTTTGTGCAATATTGCTAATAATAATCCATGATGTAATACTATCTGACCAGGATTATGTCACAGAAACGCTCTAACGCGCCAGCCCCATCCACAGTTGTGCTAAAGACAACAAAATCAGCACCCAATCAATTCCGTTATTGATGAGTATAATCCCTTCACTCATTTCCCCTCTCCCATTCCAGTGTCTCACGCATGTGTTCAATCTTGCGAAATTGACACTGTCACATTTCTCAATAGCTCAAGAGTCGGGCACAAAACCAGCTCTTATTGATTGGGAAAGCCATCTCCGACTGTCATTCAGTGAAATGAAAGATACATTATTTTACAGGGTTGCCTAGCAACTCTTGACAAGAGAAGCTAGGGGAGTATTTCCACAAATTAATGGAAGTAGTTCTTACTTAAAACTGAAACAGTAGTTGGCAAGCAGTACCTCGGGCTGTCAAGAACTTCATCCATCATATGCGACAAAACGTTAACACAGATCTTCTTATGTGTATCTTAGATACGGATGATGGTGAGATAAAAGTACACACTTACATCCGTATTCAGAGCATTTCATGCCTTGTAACATCTGACATGAGTGTCGCATAAATAGCTGACACAGACTCCCTATTATATGCGTACAACAAAAAAGTCGATATTCAGCTGGGCAACATGAGTTGACCCCTACACCATAACTAAACAAATGCAACCAAGATAGAGGAGGTTATTTCTAAAACACACATACTAACTGTTGCAACAAAAAAAACATAAGTATCACCCAGCCTATAATGGGCTCCTTTAAAGAATAAATGAGGACATCATGGCTGATATTTATAGTCTTCCAGATCTAGCTTGTCAGTTGGCAAGAGAACGCTTTCAAATGGTGTAAATAATGAATGAGTCAGTCAGTCAGTATGGTTTTACGCCACTTTTAGCAATATTCCAGCAATATTATGGCGGGGACACCAGAAATGGGATTCACACATTGTACCCATGTCGGGAATCGAACCCGGGTCTTTGGTGTGACGACCAATCGCTTTAACCACTAGGCTACTCGACTGCCCCTAATAATGAATTAGGAAAGTCTGAAAAAAGTGCAATTTTATCAAGTAAAGACATAACTGTGTGCGAAGGTTGCTGAATGTGATAGTCAGTAATACCCAAGACCATTTTACAATGTTATCTCCAAGAGCAGGGGGCAGTCGGGTAGCCTAGTGGTTAAAACGTTCGCTCGTCACGCCGAAGACCCGAGTTCGTTTCCCGACATGGGTGAAATGTGTGAAGCCCATTTCTGGTGTCCCCTGCCGTGATATTGCTGGAATATTGCTAAATGGGGCGTAAAACCATACTCACTCACTCATTTCAAGAGCGGGTTCAATCACGAGTCTTTAAAAGAGTGTGGCATTTTTGACAGACAGTGCTTTGTGAGACCATAAGACATGCAACAAATGTAAGTTGATAGAAGACTATGATTCTTACAAAAGTTAATAATAAATCTTTAGAGGTAAAAATAACACAAAGTTTTTATAAATATTATATTTTCATGTATAATCTGTTGTATACTGAGTGAGTATGGTTTTACGCCGCGTTTAGCAATATTCCAGCATTATCATGATGGGAAACACCTGACAAATGGGCTTCAAACATTGTACTTGTGGAGAATCAAACCCAGGTCTTCGGCGTGACGAGCGAACGCTTTACCTACTAGGCTACCCCTCCTTACAAACCCAGGAACAGCTGATCTCTGAGCAGTTAAGTGACCCAACTCAGCCCAACAAAAGTAAAGGAAGAAAAAGAATAGAAAAAAAAGAAGTGTCAGAACTAAAGTTAAAAAGAAAAGGAAAAGAGAAAAAGTATGTAGAAATGAAATACACAGACAAACTATCTCCAGCAACCACCAATCATCTTGTGCTTGAGGATCATACGAATTCACTAGACACATCAGCTCAAAGCTAACTGAAGGGATTTGTTTGCAGTCTCATCAAAAAAGAAACCTTTCATCTCTCGGTGTTTGTAGTCTTTCCTGCAGGCATCTATTGCTAACATCAAACTCAACCACATTAATGAGAAATGGATCCATTCCAATATTAATTAAACTCAATCAATCAAAAACAAAGGAACCTTCTTTCTTTGCAAGTTAGACTCTTGTCTGATATTCCTCAGCACATTTCCAATCTAGATATCACAGGGTACGTCGAGGTCATGTATCAGGAGGTGATGTCCATAGCAGTCAGGTACCACCGGAATTGAACCTTAAAATGTAGTCAGTCTCACAGTCCCTGAACCATATTATTTTCCCTTCCGCCCAGCCCTTACTACAATGCTGTAGCCCTAAGTGAAGCAAGTCTAGATTTCACACAGATTCAGGAACCTCCCATCTCAAAGGGGTTCTTTTTCAATTTAAATGTAGCTGTTAGTTTCTATCAAAATTATATATTTTCAGAAACTAAGCGTTAGTCTAATTAAAAGGAGTGAGTAAGTGAGTTGGATATAACGCTGCTTTGAACAGTATTCCAGTTTCATCACAGCGTGTTACCTTAACAGTGGAGAAAGTCCGAAGTGATGCAGATCTCAGACATTTACCACTTTGGTGGAACCCCGGAATGGAGCTGACAAACCTAGAAACATAATCGGGGTAAACCGGGATTTGAACCCACAATCATGGCATTCCAGCACAGGCAAGGGATCCAACACTGCACAGCGAAATGCAGCACCTT